ACCCTTGGATGGAGCTCATCCGGGCCTGCCGACTTAAAGGCATCCAGTTCTTCCAAGTGACTCTGCACCAACTCAGGGTCTGCGCATGGAAGTCTGGCGCCTTGGTGCTGCCTCTCTACAACCCCAGTGAGAGACTTGTCATGCCTCTCACTTAGGAACACTGAGGCAAAGAACTCGTTGAGGAGTTCAGCCTTGTCCCCTCTGTCCGTCACCAATTGTTTCTGCCCATTTAGCAGGGGTCCTATTCCTCCCTGGGCCTTCCTTTTATTCCCCAATATATCTAAAAAACAATTTCTGCAGGGTGCTGCGAGGGCAGCAGGCACGGGGGTGTGGGTAGTGCCTACTGAATGCAGTATGTGGCCGTGGGGTGGGGCATGTCCCTATGCGCACTCCCCATGCGGCACCCTGCAGCCGCATGCCATGCCCCTCCCCACGCCCTGAATACCCGCTGGCTGCAGGGTGTGTGTGGGTGTGGCATGTGTCTGGGTGTGTGTGACGTGTAGCTGTGTGTGCGTGTGTGTGTGTGTGTGTGTGTGTGTGGCATGTAGCAAGTGTGTGTTCATGTGACTGCTGGGTGTGTTGTGGGGCACGGGGCTGGGTGGGTGGGCGAGTGTGAAATGTGGCTGGTGGGCATGGCATGCGGCTAGGTGCGGGCTGTGTGGGTGTGTGGTGTGTGGCTGGGTGCGTGGCATGTAGCTGGATGGGTGTGGCTTGTGGCTGGCTGTGTGTGGTATGTGGTTGGGTCAGTGTGCTGTGTAGCTGGGTGGGTGTGGCATGTAGCTGAATGTGTGTCAGATGGGGGGTGCATGGGGCTGGACACGGTGGGTGGGAGGTTGTTGCGTGAGGCTGGATGCAGAGCTACATGCTGCTACTTATAAGTCTTTTTTCTTGAAAATACTATTTTTCTTCATTTCTGGCTTTCAGAAGTAAGGTGCATATGTTGTGTTGCATGTGAGAAAATATGGTAACTTTAAAATGCAGATTTGTTTCCCCAATACTCCCTGTAAGCAGAATAGGGATGTGGAGGAGGAATAGAGGGACATCTATCTGCTTGTACATTCAGAATGTTAATAAACCACAAAAAGCCTTACTTTCTTTGCAATTGTCCTAGCATTTTCTGGTTTAATAAACATAACCTAGAATGTTGCCCTTTGAGAACAAATATTTTGGGATCCTGGGTTCCCAGTGATAAGTAATGATGTTGCAAAATGAATAATTTTGCAATAGCAATAAACTGGAAAGTACCAGGGTATTCTCAGTAGGCAGTTTCTTGGAACCACAGTTGCAACTCAGATACTCCTTATGGCAACATGAAATTTGCCTTTGACCTAAATGGAGCAGGATTTTAATCCATGTCTTTAATGATGATCTGCTGTTAGCACAGTTAGTGTGCTTACTTTGATTGAAGCATTGTGTTAAGCTGAAGTTGGTGATTTTTTAAATTACATTTTACCCGCATTAAGAATAATCTAGTGCATTCTAAAACACAAAATATATTTCTGGAAAGAGTCTAAAGAACTGTGAATTTCCCCAATATATATGTGAGGCAAGGATTTCTTAGGGTGGTTACCTTTATTTGGGCAAACCATGTACCTGAGATAGATAAGCTTCTCAGTGCAAGGCCGTCTTCATGAGGTCTCTATGATGAAGAATTTCTTGCATTTAAAAGCTTGTCTAACTCTATCCCAGCTATGCAGTTGGTCTGATTAAAAGATCATCCTAGGACATACTTCCCCCTTGCATAATTTATGAACTATCACACCTACAGCATCACTCTTGTACTCCTGTTATTTATCCTATTTGAATCTGGTTTCATATATGGAAAGATTTCAGAAGAAAAGAGAAGCTGTGCCTCAACTAAATGAACAGCCTAGTTTTAATAGCTGGATTTTGATACATTTATGAAAGGGATTATATGGCATTGTTTCCTGTTGGAGCAGGGGACTGGACTAAATGACACAGGAAGCTTCTTCTGATCCTGGGTTCTTAAGTCATAAATTCCCTAGCAGAAATAATGATTAGTGCAACTGATTTATTTTTCCCTTCATCTTTCTGTTCAAGATTTTTCTGTCTTCTGTTTACAGAGATCCGTAAAGTTAGTACAGGCTCAGTTTCCACTTTTCTGTTGAAAGCATATTCTACATTGTCTCTGCCATAAAAAACAAACAAAAAACAAAGAGAGAGAGAGAGAGGGGCTGCTGTGACAACTCTAGGTGTCTTTAGGTCGTTTTAGTTGTTCATAGAGTTTTTATCTCATGATTTCAGTTAAATGTACTGGTATGAAAGTCTGATCTTCCACAATGCTTTTTTCTTTTCTTTTTTTCTTATTGACAGCTACTAGCTAAACCACATTACAAAATATGTTGGAAATTCTAGAGAAAACAATTATTTGTTTAATTCAGAACTACAATTTGAACAAGGCCTTGCATTGAATAAGTTTAGCAGAGGGTACGTTTTCTTTTAAAGTATTTTTTTCCCTGCACTTCCCTAGGGAATAACCAAAATAGTCTACCACTGAAGCAAAACAGCAAATATGTCTTTTGGAAGGAAAATTCTTAGTATTAATTGGTTTATTTGCATGCCTGTGATGAATAGGTCTATAATTCTATCAAGAATCTATCCTTCAGACTTGTAGCTCTAAATCAAAAGCCAATTTATGAGCATGGAAATTTCCTTTAGTTTTTAAGTCTTCATAGAATCAAAATATAGAATTTTAATGATCAATTTAGGAAATTTAGATATTAACTCTATAGATTTACTAGCTATCAAATTTACTCCTCTCAGTTTGTATGCCCGTGTAAAGTAAAACAACAAAAAAGTAGGCTTAATTACTGAATACCCAGGGTCAAATTGCCAGGGTGAAGGCTCGAGTCTCATCTGTCCTTCTACTGAAGCAGAAGAAGTGTCACAGGAGGTGCATGTGTTTGTGCTGTGATTAGCTGCTATAATTGTGAAAAGCTGTGACAAGGTTAACTTAAGCAGAGACTCCTCATTTCGTCTCCCAAGGTGGAAAAAGCATGAAAGCCCTTTGTGGCAGTCCCAGCCAAAGGCTGGAAGGTACCTTTGGTTTGTGTATTAAACTTCTGCTGTAATTGGCAAAGGCTAAAGGGAGACTCTCCAGCCCCCTTGCTCCTTAAGCAGAAGAAGTGTCATAGCCCTGTGGGAAGGTGTTAGTCAAGAGCTGGGACGTTTGCATGTGCTTAACTGTGGTGCTGTGCAGTCGGGCAAGGCTTGGGGCTGGGCTGGGCTGGGTGTTGCTGCGGCAGCTAAGCCAGGTGTGCTTGGTTGGCAAATCCTGTGCAAGATTGGCAGTGCCCTCTCCCCACTGCTAACCTCCTGGCAAGCTGACAAGACAGGTGAATCACAGTACCTATACTTGCTGAGTAGTTCTACATAGCCTCTATCACTATGCACTTTCCTATGCTGAATAGGTTGGCAAACTGCAAACCACATGGCCAGGGCCTCAGTTATGTCTTAATGGCCATACATGGCAATGTGCACCAGGCTGCACAGGAGCTGAATGAGCTCCGTACAGGAGCAGTGGCAGGCCTTGACTCTGTGCCAGCAGGAGTATGGAATGTCCCAGACCTGCCAGTGTTGCTGGAATGGCAGCCACAGGGTGCATGGGAAGCAGGGATGTGTTGCTGGCTGGAAGTGAAGTTGATGAGCTTTGGCGGTGGAAGCTTACCAGGCACACAGGCCATGCAGTACCAGTATGAGGGAGGGAATTCCTGGATGGGTGTGGTTCCCCAGTCAGCCATTTGGTGCTTTCCTCTGTGCTTGCCTGGCCTTGGGAACCTCTGGAGGTACCCCGCAAAACATGATGGGGAGCACTGCATACTGACTTCTTGGCTGTGGAAGGTCAGTAGTACACGCTGTTGCTATGATCTGGTATGCTCCAGTTGATCTGACATTTGAACTGCTGTATGCATTTTAAGCTAGGTTTTTATGGGGTTGTAAATTTCTTAATACTTTAATGCCTGTCCATACCTTGGGAGATGGGCTGTTGGAATTCTGTCATGGAAGTCCTGCTTAGCAGGACTCAAGCATACTTGGTGCAAATGGATCCTCTACGTGCGGGATCTAGTTAACAATTAAAATTCATATCCATGATAAACTTTGAAAGATAGTAGCCTTAGGTATTGGCTGAAGGTTCTGTTTAAAAACAGAACAAAATGGGAAAAAAAACTGTCTGAAGACACGAACATAGACAATTTCAGCCAAAAGGAATGTTTGGCAAGCATATAAGCAGCCAAAACCAAAGCCTTATAATGGAAAGTGTTGAGCAACTTTAATAATATTTGGGTAATAGCCTTGTCTGTGACAAGATAGCTTAATAATAGTCTAATTATTGCATTAGAATACTAGTGGAAGTATGGTTGATATTTTTCAGGCTTATACTCCTTATTTATTTTGGATATGAACGGTCAGATTGTCCTGTAACTTAACTGCTAGTACAACTTGGAAACATAAAGGAAAGCGGAATAAAGTGTAGCATTGTGCTGATGTACAAACAGACTTGCTTCCAGTAGTAATTGAGTGTCATGCATTGTGTTGTAAGAAGGCCCTACACAGGTGCCCACTCCTCTAGACACAGGTAACTTTCCTACACTAGCTTTAATAAGGTTTAATATGTTCAGTGAACCAGACATATGGTTTAAGTGTTTCCTTTTTAGGGGATCCATTTAAGTTGGACATTATGTTAAAAACAGAATAAAACAGCTCCCCCCGCCCCCAACCAAACAAAAAAACCCAAAAAAACCTTTTTGCTTTTTAACTTAGAGGTAGTGAAGGCTGAATTCTGCTAGAAAAATGTGGATGCATCTCCCCTGAAGTGAATAAGAACAGAGTGTGTACAAGCACAAAATTTAGCCCCAGGGTGCTTGATGTTGTTAAGCTTACCAGCCTTCCTTCTTGTACTTGATTACAGAATCTCTTAGCTGAAAAGGTGGAACAGCTTATGGAATGGAGCTCAAGGCGCTCAGTTATCCGCATGAATGGAGACAAATTCAGAAGATTTGTAAAAGCTCCGCCTCGTAACTACTCCGTGATTGTGATGTTTACTGCTCTGCAGCCACAGAGACAATGTTCTGTTTGCAGGTAACTTGTATGCTTTATTCCTTTCCTCCCATCTTCGCATGATCCACATTTAACCGCATGTTTCAACAGAGAGAACCTGTAATCTTGGTAGTCTCTTTAAATCCTAAAATGATAGTTATTTTTCTATTTGTCCGTACTCATCATATTACCATCCCTCACTTTTTCCTTTTATACCTGTGGTACATTTTAGCATTCATGTTAATTACTGTGTTTTTAAAGTTTATGGTTTATAAAATCTTACTTGATTAATGGTTTTCCTTCTTTTGGTAAAAGGAGGACATTTTCCATTTAAGAGTCTTTTATTAGTTTGCTTCATGAGATTTAGTTACCCCAGGGAAGCAGTTCCCACAAGGATTTGGCTATCCTTAGTATGGAACATGTTGTAGTTCTACTTGGTTACTGTTTGATGACTGCTCCTTCACTGCTTCTGTGGTTTCAAGGCTGGATAGTCTTAAACCCAAAACCTTATTCTTTAAGATCACATGCAACAAGGTGAATAACAATAGTTAACTTTATGCATAAGAGTAATCCTAATGGATTTATAGTCATGCTTACCTTGTTGAATCAGAATCTAAGCACATAGTTTTCTTCACCTAAAATGCACATTAGGAGCTAAACATGGCAAAAGGCAGGATTCCTTTTCAGGATGTTGTAGTTAGGATTGAAATAGGAAGCAACTGGTTAATTCATGCTCTTGCAGAGCAGAGTTTTTGGCCTAAATAATTTTTCTTCTTGAGTAGACGGTCACAAGTTAAGATGTCTTTCTGAAAGTAGAGGTGTCCAGGAGTCACTTGGACAATAACTTGGATAAGTGTAAGGAATAAAAACAATCGTTACAGCAAATGAATGTTTGAGATACATATGGAGTTTCTTAGGTGTTAAAATATGATCTGGTATAGTCAGAATGTTCAGATAAGGTGAAATTATGACATTGGGACATATACTTTTTGCAATTCTACTTTTGGGATGGGTATTTATTCCTCAGTTGTTAGGGATCACATGGACTGAGGTCTGAGAGAGGAATAGCCATGGCAAGACAAGACTTGCATCCTATTTCAGGTTTGCTACACTTGGTTTTGTACTATGGCTTCCAGAGAGAGGCACAGCCCTATTGATCAGCATGGCTTGTGGTGTAAATTGAGATAATCCTGAGGTTGTTCTAGGATTATGGTGAACTGCTCCTCCTGTTTCATGTGGACTGCTTTACAGCCAATAATATCCATAGTGTTGAGTGTTGTATCACATTTCTGACTTCGTTTTTGGCCTCCCCCTTGCACTTCTGTGTAGGAGGTGCAAAGGATTGGGGGGAAAAGATCCTATAGGCTTGACCTCTTATTGGTAGGGATCTACTTAATTCGAGACTTACTGGTTATCTGAGGTGATGGTGGGTCCTCAGCTAATCTACAGTGAGAGGTAGGGCCTCCAGGAAATGCCCATTAAATTGGCCTTTTGTGCTGCAAGCAAGCTACTAAAATGGCTTTGTCTTGCCGTGAGTTAATTAGGTCCCCAGTTATTGGGTACAAGGAATTATCTTCTCATACTCCAGGCTGCTCTTACCTTTCATAGCTTCATAGTTGGTAGGGTCGGAAGGGACCTGGGCAGATCATCAAGTCTGACCCCCTGCTATGGCAGGAAAAAGTAGTGGGGTCAAACGACCCCAGAGAGGTGTTCGTCTAACCTCCTCTTAAAGACCCCCAGGGTAGGAGCCAGCACCACTTCGCTTGGAAGTTGGTTCCAGATCTTAGCCACCCTGACAGTGAAGTAGCGCCTCCTGATGTCTACTCTGAATCTACCCTTGCCAGCTTCTGACCATTATTTCTAGTCACTCCTGGTAGTGCTCAGGGGAACAGGGACACCCCCAATACCTGCAGGTCCCCTCTGACTAGTTTGTAACAGGCCACTAGATCCCTGCTCAGCCTTCTCTTGTGGAGGCTGAACAGGTTCAGGTCCCTCAGACTGTCCTCGTAGGGCCTGCCCTGCTGCCCTCTGATCATGTGGGTGGCCCTCCTCTGAACCCTCTCAATGCTGTCCACATCTCTCCTGAAGTGCGGCACCCAGAACTGGACGCAGTACTCCAACTGCGACCTGACCAGTGCCGCATAGATGGGGAGGATCACCTCCTTGGACCTGCTTGAGATGCATCTGTGGATGCATGACAAGGTGCGGTTGGCTTTCCTGACCGCGTCCCCACACTGTCAGCCCATGTTCATTTTGGCATCAATAATGATTCCAAGATCCTTTTCTGCTTCTGCACTGATGAGAAGGGAGTTCCCCAGCATGTAGGTATGCTGCTGGTTCTTCCTCCCTAGGTGCAGCACCTTGCACTTGTCAGTGTTGAAACCCATCCTGTTCTCATATGCCCACCCCTGTAACCTGTCCAGGTCCAATTGCAGCCTATTCCTCCCTTCTAGCCTGCCTACATCCCCCCACATCTTAGTGTCATCAGCAAATTTGAATATGGTGCTTTTTACCCCCTTGTCCAAGCCACTGATGAAGATGTTGAACAGCGTTTGAAAAAAAAGAAAAAAAAAGAAAAGATGTTTTTATGCTGTCAGATTGTTATGGGATTTGAGGTAGGAGTGATAGTCTTCCTTATAGAGTTTCAGAATTTCTCATTTTCTCCCCAGCAGACAGACGTATAGGAGAAGCACAATTTCCCCTGTTAAGGGTTAGCGTACTCATCATTACATGAGATAGTGGGAAACTAATTCCTTCATGTTGTGTTCTGTGCAAGTCTATGAATCCTTTTGTACTGCTTGTAAACACAATATAAATATTGCCATTATTAAGGAAGATAATCTCATTTACAACTTTATGTTGTTTACTGAGGTGGAAAACGGCTTATAAACTTCATCCTGCAATATGCCACTTCAGGCATTTAAGTATATAGCAACTGTAAATCTTTAAAATAAGCACGTAAGGAAAAATGCCCAACATATTGCTTTTACTTAAATTGTTTTAAACAAATGTTAAGTTGAAATCCAGTCCTGCTATGTGAAATAATATGAATTTAATGAAGTTGATCATACTGCACATAAAACTACTATAAAAAATTGACACAATTCAAACCAATGGTTAATTAATGGACAGGAGTACAGTAGTATATATAGAATTTGAATGCAAGAATAACTCTTTGGTTAGCACTTCAATATACACTTTCGAAAGGATCTATTTTTGCCGTAAGCAACCTAATGTGTAATGTTCTGTAGAGATTCTTTTGTCTAAGGTTTAAGTTAGCTGTTACTCATCAAAACATTTTCAGTGACTGAACACCAAAAATCAACGTGATATTTCAGGTATAAAGCAGGAGCAATCTGAAATATTTTAAACTTTTTACTGTAACTAATTTTTAGCACAAAAAAAAAAAGTAGGGCCACCCAGCCAGAATGCTTCACCAGCTGTGAAGATTAAGCTGACTGGCTGCAGAGGCAGCTGGGCTGAGTTTGTAAGCCTCAGACCCCAGTACCTCACTCTGTTGTGTCTGGATTCCCTGGCTCCTGGCCTTCAGTCTGACCTGGAATATGAATATAGATATTGTTTTGGATTAGCTGCATGACTCTAACCACCTGGTTTGACTCCTTTGAGCACCTTGGCCACAAATCTGGAGCCTCCACAGGCTCAGGTACTTGGCTAACTGCACACTCCTCAAGACTGCTCGTGCTCACTTGCTTACAGTTTGAGCAGCCCATAAGGATCCTTTACCAGCATTCCCAGGGGGAGGCACTCCTAATACCCAATATGGAATCACCCCCCCACTGCCACTGCTTTCCCCAGCCAGGGTTTGACCAGCTTGTAGAACCTGCAGTCCCATGTAGGGGCTCTGCATGTACAGAAACAAGCCATGCTAGCCCAAACTGAAGAGTTGGAGAAGCATAAATTGGACATGTGGGCCCAGGTGTGCAAACTGCTGCTCTGGTCACCCCTTTTGTATCTGCTTCTTAACATCCCTACGTATCCTTATTGTCAGATCGGTTTGATGGGAACCCAGGGAAGTTTAGGGGTTTCTTAAACCATCCTGTTCTCCCTGTGCCCTCAGAGTTACCTCAGAGGCAGAGTTAGAGTAAACTTGGTAAACAGACAGTTGGCAGGCAGAAACTGTGCCTGGGCTTCCATTTTTGAAGGGTCCAGTGCCCTGTTAGATGACCTGGAGAAATTCACTGAGGCCATGACTGTGCTGTCTGGAGACCCTTTCAGGTGAAGTCAACTGAGCTTTCCCTGCAGACTCTGAAATATGAACCCATGGTCTGTTATTTGATGGAGTTCTGTAAACTGACCTCTGACATTCAGTGTAAAGAGGCTGCCTATCAGAGACCAAATGAGGAATTAAAAGATGAGCTGGCGAGGATCAAGGCCCCCAATAGCCTGGATTAATTCGTGGACCTCTGCATTTGTATAGAGTGCTGGCGGACAGAGAGGAGGATGGGGCATGTGAAAACCCTGAATTGGGACCTGTGGCAGGGCACCTTTGGTGCCTGCCACTCAAAGGGCCTGAGTAGGCAGCAGAGGCAGCCTGCAGGTGGCTGCACTCCCCAATCAGGAGTCACATGGCCAACAGAAAACTGCTTGATTTGGGGAGAGGGGTCAACTGCTAGCAATAAGAGCAGGCTTGAGCAGTAAAGCTAGCAGCAATTGCTGCAAGCAGCCAGATCAGAGCATTGTCTGACTTGAACTGCTGCTCAGGAATACCCAGAGGACAGGATAGGAACAGTTGGGATGTCAGGGGGCTTCTGGTCTTGGGGAATGACCTAAAACTGCACCCTGCTGGGGTTGGAAGGTGTGGTTGGGCTGCTTCCATGAACTGCCACACCTGTGCAGCCCGAGTGAAGGGGAACCATGAGGCACAAGGAAGCCTCAGTCCTTCCATGGAGGGGAAGGGTTAGGGGAGCACACCCTGACAGGTAAGCACAGGGGCCCAGGCCCACTGAGCAGAGCCTGAGGCAGGGTCCAGATAAGTTGATAGACACCTGAGGCCCAAGGGGACGTAATGCCCTGAAGGTTCC